TTTCTTTCTCTTTGTCTCTCATTTTTCCACCAATTCTTCAATGATTTTAACGTAACTTTATTTCTATTTATAAAAATTCTCATTAAATTTGGACAACTTTTTCAAACATACTTTTCAATGCAGTATATCATAGTTTTACTCATTATTCTCTCTCTCTCTCTCTCACTCACTCACTAACCAATAATTATATGATTGGGAAAAGTGTGGTTAGAAATGCGAGTCCTGTCTCCGACTCCCTATGCCTTTGTATTGTGAAACATGTATTGAAGTATTGGTTGCGAACATACCTTTCGAGTCGTAATGAGCTTTGATTCAGTATTTCTGCATATTTAAGGAGCAGTCGATCCGATGGTTTAGGATTAGTGCGAAACCATTGTCTCAATTGCGGCACTTCTAGGCCTGAATGAAACGTTAATCTCGTTTCACAGCTTTGACTCGTCGTTTGGGTAAGACTTGTGTCCAATTCTGTGCCCTTTTCTTCTTCACTCTTCTCTTCACTTCTATTATCCCTTCTCTTGGGTTCAGAACTAACGCCACAAACGGCTACACAAATGCATACAATATATTATAATAACAATACGTTTCTATACTTTTATTATAATCTCATTAATAAAAGTTAATTAACTCTTTTGTGCGGAAAAAAGTCTCTCTAAAGATATCAACTTTTGGGCTAAAATTTCTATAACTTATTCAATGTCTCACTATTTGAGCATAAATTATAAAATAAATTGATTTTAATTAACAAAACAATTGCGAGACTAAAGTGAGTGAATGTGTTGTACAGAAGTGTTAGAGTACTCACAGGGATGTCCTCTCCTATAATCGGTATACCATTTGCCGAATTCTTCGCATTTCTTTTTGCCGATCTTTCCCTCAAATTTGTTGTTAACAATACTCGACAGAAGCGACTGTTTTGTGGTGTTGTCATAAAAACACACGTTTAAGTGAGAAATTATTGATTCATCGAAACAAACCTGAGATATTTGGCACAGCTTTGAGAGTTTGCTTTGAGATATTTCTCGCAGTAATTCGAGAACCGCTTCCCTCACCGTATTGTGAGTCCATTCAGAGATTTCAAACGGAGTGCTGTTTTGAAATTTAAAAATGTCTCCACTTTTAAAATAATTTCAATTAATTGGTGTAAAAATTACATATTTGATTACTTTTGCAAATTAGTTATTAAATCATTAAAAAATTGTATATAAAAATCCATATTTTTTTCTCAAACTCAATGCGAAAATTAAAAAAATAATGCTTTGACTTTTGAGACAAATTACAGTATATTCACACAAAACTCGCAAAATCGATAGAAAGTTGATCTGAAATATCAATCAATAGTTAGTATAGTATATGAATTGTTAATTGAGAGCACAGTTTCGCTTTTCATTCATTTTTATTAACAATTTTATTCAATCGAAAGGAATGTTTAAATGAAATAACATTTAAACGAATGTCAGGTATAAAAAAGTGCAATAATTGAAAGTCTATTGAAATTACTGTTTTCAGAACAAAAGGCTCACAACAAATGCTTGTTTTTTTGTTCATTTAATAATAAACTCATAATAACTACAAATATAACATAAAATCAGTACAAAAGAAGACAAAATTTATGATAAATAGAAACTCTTTAAATAAAACGCATAATTATATAAAAATTCATACAAATTATATTAAAAATTAATTGAAATAAATGAGAAAAATAAAGTATAAAAACACTCTAAGGCTATACTTTCATTAAAATTACATTAAATGATATATTCTTTAAAAATTGATCGAAAAGTTAACAATTTGTTTGTAAAACAGATTGACATAAAAAAGATAACATAAGAATCAAAACAATAGCCAAAGACATGATTGTTGTGATGTCGAGAGGAAAGACTAGGCCTTAAAATAGTTTCAATAATTTAGTTGTTTTTGGGTTAAAATAAAATGGAATGCAATCAATGATAAAGCCTTTGAATTCACTTGTTTTGGTCGGTTAGTGATTGTGTGGTGTGTATAGTGTACTCGTCGTGTGGTTTAAAGTGTATTTCAATTGATTAATACCCATAACTACTAGTATTGCCGAAACCCAATCGCGATATAAATATTTACATTCAATTATATAACTAATAGATACACTAATAGTATATAATAATAATTAATAGTATTTCTTAAAAAGAGTTAATTATATAATAATAATAATTATAACAAACCCTAAAACATAAGATTGAGGACTAGGAGTGGGAGAAGCGCTATATTGTTTTCAAAGTATCTTATATTAGTTATTATATAATATAAAAATTAAAGTCATATTAATTAATAGTCGTATTTAATGTGCATTAATGAGACGCTCGATATTGAGTGCCGAGGACTGGGAGGTGAGGTGTGTAGTCGTCGGCACCGATAGGTTGCGCTTGAATTTCGCTCTTCGGTTCTTAAACCAGAACTGAATGTTCTTTGGCTCCAGTTTTGGGAACTTTTGACGATAGGCTAAGTTATTGAGTTCGTCGGTGTATCGCACGATCTGACTGTGAGCCGGATGGGTGTTCACTGAGAACCAGTGCTCCAAACGGGGCACCTGTGGGTCAATGCATACATTAGTCAAGTCAATCACATTTACCATCAAATCGAGCCATACCTCAGACATCGGGTCAATGAACGTACGGCTCCGTCGAATTCGTCGGCCGTCCGGCGATTCCGGAAGCGATGAGATATTATTGGAATTGTTGTTCATGTGAACCATCGATGGGAATGGATGTGTCATATTGTCGATGTACTCCTTCTCGTCATCGCTTTCGTCTCCATCACTGCAATCACTGGACCCATCGTTTCGATCCATTTGTTCCGTCTTTAAGTTTGCAATCATATTATTATTGTTGCAATTAATCACATCGTTTTGAATGTCGTCGTCGTGTTTGACGGCTGTTATGATGTAATCCCCGTCGTTATCGGTTGGACTGTCAGAGCGCGCCCTTTTGGACGGTCTCATCGATAGGTCGAGGGTTTCTGTCGCGTCGTGCGACGAGTCTTCGTCGAGACTGTAGTAGTCGTCAATCGCCGACCCGTTTCTGTTCGAGTCGTCACCGCATTTGCCACTCGTGTCGGAACCGGTCTTTCCCGGACTGTTGCCGTTGGAGAGGCCGTCAGCGCCGGACGGGTCGCCCATGAACTTCAGTTCCTGGCGCTTGTGAGCGGCCCTCGCGTTCTTAAACCAATAAACCACGTTATTTATATCCAACGGCTTTCGGCCTTTGCGCGACTCAAGCGAATTCAGTTCTTTCACGTATTCCATGACCTGAGCCCTCGACGGGTGTCTATTCTCGGAGAACCAACGATGAAGTTTCGGCAGTTCTAATTCGGGATCAAATGACGTGCGAATACGAGTGCGAACCGAACCCATGTGTTGGTGCTGTTGGTTATTAGACGGCGACGAGATTGTCATAAGTGCCGGGTGTTTGTCGGGCGAGTGATTCGAGCCGTTATTGGCCATCGATTGGTGCAAATGGTCGCCATTTGTGGTGGCATTCAAATCGATTAGTAAGGGATCGGTTGGTGTCCGTCGATGGTTGGGCTGTTGAGCAGCGATTGCTATTTGACGGTATTGTGTGAAGAACTGTTGCAAATACCACTGATCGAAGCGTCGCCTCATTTCATCAGTGATCTCCTGTTCCGCTCTTCCGCTTCGACACAAACCGTTCAGAATTTGCTAAACATTTACAAAAAACAAATCCAATCATAAATGAGATTATTTAATGAAAATAATGAGATTTTATTGAATAATAATGACATTAATTATTAAATGAGTTTTGAAATTAAAGATTAAAAGTATATATTCAACAAAAAGAGTTGCATTCAGTCGAGAGAAACGAGTTATCAATTCGAGAGAGAGAGAGAGAGAGAGAGAATGGCATTTGTTTGGTCT